TCGAATCCCAGTAAGGGTATGGCTAGCTGATGAGAGCTAAATAGCTTGAAATAGATCTATACTAGTCTCCCTTTATTTATCAGCACAAATACAACATACATACATACATACATACATACATACATACATACATATATGTATTTTGTGTCACAACCCCTGGTATGCCCAAATATGGGAGGAAGCATACTGCTTCCTTTCTGTCTATCGGCTCACCCTAGGGGACCATCCAGACAGAAAGCCATTATTTTTATTGTTGCCTTTGTTACATTATTTATCAGCACATATGCAACACAAATATATAAGGGGGGGGGAGTGTTTCCTTTTACGACCGCTGCAAAAAATGTTGTAAAATTGGGTTTTATGACTGTTAGGACTTACAAATGCAATGGGCAGGCTCCATTAAGGTTGTAACTTGAGGACTACTTCTATGCCCCAGCCAAGAATCTGGGAAAGTTCTTACCTGCTGTCTTCTCTGTAGATTCAGGAGGAAATCCTCTGCCAGAGTGACAGCCTGGGCACAGGTCTGGGGTCTGCCTTCTCTTACCCAACCTTGTATATCCTCAGGCAGGATGGTCAGAAGCTGCTCCAGGACCACCAGTTCCAAGATCTGCTCCTTTGTGTGCCTCTCCGGCTTCAACCACTGGTGGCAAAGCTTCCAAAGCTGCTCACAAACATTTCTGGGGCCTTCAGCTTCCTGGTAGCGGAACCGATGGAAATGCTGGCTCTGCTCTTCCAAGCTATCCATGTCCTCACCCCAAATCTCATCTTTTACTTCCACAGAAGAACGTGGGACCTTCTCACAGGGCCTGCAGGCCTTCTGGCTGAACACCTCTTCTCTAGATCTTAGCTTGGTCTCTGCGGTGCCCTTCAAGAAGGGAAAAGAAGCTTGAAATCCTTTAGGACTCTCCTCCGGTGGGGGCTGGAGGAGCTGTGGACATCTTTCTGGGAAATAGGGTGCCTGCACGGTCTTCGGGAATTTCTGCCACTGGGTTTCCCAGCGCTGTTGCAGTCCGTCTTCCGGTTCCTGCTTGATTGGCTTCAAAAGTTTCTGAAACTGAAGCTCAGCCCCAATTCCAGCATGGGTGGCCTGAAGGCCCTTCTGTACAGCCCTGGTTTTTTTCTCTTTTCCACCACCTTTCAGTTCCATTTTGACTTCCTTTTGCCCTGTGAATTAAAAGCAAGGTTGCCAACATCATTCCTGATCTCGTTTTGCTTTATTCCTTCCAAAGGTCTCCCCCCGCAGGCTGAAGTCTTAAGAAAGGGTGAAGTTCAGCAGATACAAATGACACAAATACATACTAATACACCTGTTGACTACAGCTAGAACAACATTTGCCCTATGCTGGAAACAAAGTAATATCCCCCCCCCCCCGATGAATTAGTGATTCAGAAAATGTTAGATTGTGCAGAAATGGACAAGTTAACATTACGATTAAAGGACAAAGAAGAGCCTGAATACTATGAAATTTGGGATAACTGGTATAAATGGTTGCATTAACAGGAATGAAATTAATTCAGCTGGGAAACAATAGAGAAATGTATAGAATGTATGTAAATATAGAAGTGATGTCAGATTGATATATACAGGTATGATGACATAACAATGTTAATGTGATTTGTAAGATGTTATAGAGGGGGGAAAAACAATAAAAAAATCTGGTTTAAAAAAAAAGAGAAAGAAAGTTGCAGAAGTCCTGAGTTTTTCTTTTGCGCCTCCACCCCCCCCCCCACTCCCAGTTTTCAATAATTCCTGAAGTGAAGAACATATCCAAACTCTAGAGTAGTGCTTCTCACCCTTGGCAACTTTTAAGATGTGTGGACTTCAGCTCCCAGAATTCCCCATAGGGCTGGTGAATTCTGGGAGTTGAAGTCCACTCCTCTTAAAGTCGTCCAGGTTGAAAAACACTGCTCTAGTCTAGTGCAGCCTGTAAGGAAAGAAAGTCTCCTTCCTGCACCTTAAAAAAAAAACAGAAATAAAGGGAAAATTCAATCTGATTTATTCTGCATCGATCAACCTGAGATTACAGGCAAATGAACCAGCAAACTACTCCTTGCCCATTGTAGAGTGGATCCAAGTCCTGAACTAACTAACTTCCCTTTCATCTTTCCATTTTGATCTCCCTTCCAAATAAGATTTTAAAAAATGGGGGGGGGGGGATCCTGCCGGATAGGCAAAGCAGTGCTCTGGAGATCTATCTCAAATCTTTCCTTGAAGGGACCGGGGTTCTGCATCTCTTTCTTTTGGATTCCTCTCTTGGTCTCAAGAGAATCGGGGAAGGGAACACAGAATCGTAAGGCTCAAGGGGACCTCAGAGTTCTTCTAGCCTAACCCCCTGCTCAAGGCAGGAGACCTTGTACTATCCGGGTCAAACAGTTGCCCAGATTATTTTGGGAAGCCACCAGCGATGGACTCGGGCAATGCAGATCCTCCCTGCAGGAGATGCTTTTTTTTTTGCAAAGCCTTGCAAAAAAGCTAAATCTTCCTCCCGGTGCCTTCCTTTGACTCACCTCCTCCTCCTCCTTGCAGACGTTGCATTGCAGCCTGTTGATCTCCGTCAACGGTGCTCCTCTCAAGCTGCAAAAGGGAAATAAATAAATGCAATACAGAACTGAGCTTCTCACTAGTCAAGACGTGGCGGGCTAGGAAGTAGGAAGGAGTCTGCCTCTGGGCCTCTCTAGCAAGCAGATCTCTGTATAATTAACTCCGTCTGGGTCGGCAGGGGGAAAGGAACAGCTTCGGAGCGCGATGATCGCTCATAAAGGGTTTTTANTTGGAGAGTTACGAACCAATTAAGCCAACTAATTGTCTCCTGCAAACTCCACTCCCCATTCGCTCCTCTTTTATTTCCTCTGGGAGGGGCCATTCATTGTCCACCTGTGGCCTTACTTCCAAGTTGACCCCTGTTCTTTAGCTGTTCCCTTCGTCTGGCAACTCTGTGCATGCGCACACTGGGAACAGGCTCCAGCTGTTCAGCTGCCTCCCTGATGTCCGACTCTGAAGGCAGCTGATATCCCCTTGGCCCCCCTCGCTGCCAGGGGCCCTGGCCCCCTCGCTGCGTCCGACACAGAGCCCTCATCCGAGCCTTCCCCAGACTCCAGGACTGGCCCAGGTTCCTCCCCAACCTCCTCACTGTCTGAATCTGCTGCCAACAGGAGTGACGTTGAACTGGCCACGCCCATCCTAGCCACGCCCTCCCTGAGGTCAGACACAATCTTGATACGTCCCACAATAAAATCGAGTTTGACACCCCTGATCTACTCCAACCCCCTGCCCACGACACAAGACCTTATTCCATCCCAAACAAATGGCCATCCAATCTTTTCTTGAAGACTTTCTGGTTTTCCTATGGAGCTTTTCTTTCTTTCCCTTCCTTGTACTTTTCTCCTTTTCTTTTCTTTTTTTTCTTTTTTGAGATGTGTGTGGGAGGCTCTGTCTTGGAAAAAAGCTTTTTACCCGCTTGTTTCTAATAAACCCAATTCTGTGAGTCTCTTTCAATGCAATTTGCGTTTTAACAATTTTCAAGATGCCTTCTGCCCACAACCAACCAACCAAAGGAATTTCGCTTTTCTATCTGCACAGCTGTGCCCAAATGCAGAGTGCAGAACCAAGCTATTTTATTCTTTAATTCCCCCCATTTAACCAGAGCCTGCAGACTAACTTTAAGTGTACTCTTAAAATGCACATTTGTCTTTATTTTGAGCCTTTCCCTTTTCCGTGACTTATGAGTCCCTGAGCTGGAGCTGTAGTTGCATTGCTCTCCCGCGCAAGCAACTTACCCGTGACTTTCATGTTTCAAGCGGTATTTCTCCATATTTGGAAAAAAATAAATGGCTTTTCTACTTCAGCACGCCAAAGGCAGCGAATATTTGCCTGAGGTAGACTGCTGTCCTATATAGCAAATTTCTCCCAGTATGTCTGTATATTTCCCCCCCCCCCCAAAAAAAATGTCATCCACAGATTTTCTCAGGGTGAACTAACAGCTTTCTTATCTTCTTGGTGCAGGGCCC